ATGAACAAGAATTGGAGCGTTTTGAATGATTTTACTTTTTTCCCCAATTAATTTTGCTTTTTTCCCACTTAAGTGCATTTTTCATTCTTAAGTTGCTACCGTCGTGTAGGGTTTACGTTTTATTCGTTTTTCATTTTTGGGTAAACTATATTACATGACACCAAACTTTAGACGTATCGTTTATACTATTGAACTTTTAATTTTACCAATTATAACACCAAACTTTAGACGTTGTATCGTTTATGGTTTATGGTTTAGTGTTCATGGTTTAAAGTTTAAGTTTATGATTTAGGGTTTAAGGTTTATATAAACTATATACTTTATTACTTTATATAGTTTATGCATAGCATTTCTATAAACTATATAAGTAATTTACTTTATATATATATATATACATGGTTTATACATACATATTATATAAAATTATTTCATAAAATTAATAAAATTATTTAAATGTAAATTATATAAAACATGATTAATTAGCTGTTAAATAATTAGTATGTCACATTGCATATTATATGGTTCATAAATAGTAGTACATGTCATATTAATTTTATTTACATAATTAGTATTTTAGTTGCGTGTTAGGTTAATTTACATTAATAGCCCATTTATTTTGTTGTTATGAATAAGTAATAATAAAACAAAAAAAAAATAAGTCCATTTGCATCAGTGTTTGTCCATTCACATTAGTTTACATAGGCCCAATACATAAGCAGACTCTTTTATTATAAATATATATGCATTAGTGCTAGTCTATTTATATTAGGGTTTATGGTTTAGGGTTTAGTGTTTAGTGTGTATGGTTTAAAGTTTAGAGTTTATAGTTTAAGGTTTAGGTTTTTTAAATAATCTATATATATTTTTTTACTTTATATAGTTTATGCATAGTATTTCTGTAATATATATAATCTATAGATTACTTATATTAGTTATACATACATATATATACTATATTAATATAAATTATAATTTATAAACTATATATTTTATATAGTTTATATACATACATACGTACGTACGTATGTACATACATATATATATATATATATATACACGTACATACATAGATAGAAAATTAAAAGTAATTAAAATATATATAGGGTTAAATTGCATCGAATTGAAAATTCAATAAGATATTTATATTTTTGTAACTAGCCCATAACTTTTTAAATGTGTTTAATTTAGTCATTTTTATATTAATTTAAACCTCACATTTTAAATTTATTTCTATTTAGTCACTTACCTATGTGTGTTGTTTAATTTATATTTTAAAATTTTATTTGTAATTTTATATTTCTTCAATTTTGTCCTTAAATTTATATTTTTTACAAAATTGATACATGAATATTTATTTTTGTCTTAATTTACTCGAAATCATATACAATTACAACTTGCAATTCAATATTCACGAAAGATGACAAAATAATTAATCCAAAAATAGAAACGACCATACCTGAACTCAACCCGTATCCGGTAAACATCCGACCTGAATTTTATATGTCAATGATGTGACCCGATCTGAACGAGATCCGATTGAAGTCCACCCGAACCTGAATTAACATGTTCTTTATCTGCTTCGGACTTGAACTGACATCGATCTGAACTGAAAATGACCTGACCTGAACCCGATCTGGATCTGGTGTCAAATCAACATGAGTTGACCTGTACCCGATTTTTATCCGACCTGCCAATATCCTGCTGAAACATATCCGGTTACCTGATTTTACAACCTTAAGAGAAACCAAAACGTTGAATTCCTAACGATTTCTTCTCCTTTTGTGGTTGAATTCAGAAACCAACAACAAAAGCAACAGAAACGATTTTCTCTTCTCTTCTTTTTTTAGTTTAGGCGTTCAGTAAGTTAACTTTAGAAAATGTGGATCTTTCATATTTTCAAGGTTTTTCCCTTTCTCCTTGGGGCATACAAAAATAGCTTAATACAAAAAACAATATACTTAAAATTAAATTTAAGTGTTTAAAAATTAATTAAAAATAAGTTTTTAAGGTTTCTAATGTTACTATTTTAAGTGTTCGGATCATAACTGTTGTTAAAAAAATTAGTTAGATGAAACACGTCATGTTCTGGTAATTTTAAAAAATATTAAAAAAGCCAAATTAAAAAATATTAAAAAACTCAAAATTTTGAAAACTCTAATTACAATATTATAACCACGTCAGCCACTGTTATCGTCGATCGAACTTACCTCCGAATGCACCTCCATCTGACGATCATTTACTCCCTGAACAGTCACCCTAAAATCACACCACGACGATAAACCTGACGAATGTCAAATTTTAAAAACTATTGGAATTTGTGACACACGACGATTCCAGTGACGATATCGACTGATGACAGAAAACAAAAAAGATGTCAAGGGCATCGTCGGTGATCGTGGTCGGCAAAGGAGAAGGTGAGTTTAGAGTTAGTACTTTTAGGGTTTACAGGGATTTGAGGTTTTTTGTAATTTTAGAAAATTAAAGGTTTTTTAATATAATAATATTTTTATTCTTTAAAATTTTTAAAAACATTCTTAAAATTACCAGAGCATGACATGTGTAGAGTTCTTTTAAAAACGGTTATGGTTCAGGCACTTAAAATGGTCACTTTGGAAACGTTAGGCACCTGTTTTTAACACACACAAAAATCTTTAGACACCTAAAATCAATTTAGAGTATAATTTAGATACTTATTTTTATATTAAACCTAAAAAATAAAAACTTTTGTTTTTTATTTGATGACCCTAACACCGTCCGTTTAGGATTAATTATGTCCGTCAATAGACCAAATTGTTTAGGCTAAAAAGCATTCCAAATTCGGTTCGGAAAATGCTATTGAGTATGATATTCCAATACTTCATTCAAATAGTTAGACCTTTTAATTAATATTGAATTTTTCAAAAAGTTAATGTGCATGTAAAACAATACATATTAAATTACATTCTGATGAGCTGTAAAGTGTGATTCATTTAACTTTAAAATATCACTAAAATTGATTATTAATTGGCAAAAAGATACATAAGGTCCTCCACTTTTTAAAAAAATTAATGTGGCCCTCCAATTTAGAAAAAAAAATCAATGTGATCATTTGATCAACGTTTTTCGTCGTTTACTGATGGGGTCGTTACTTTGTGCTTACGTGGCACGTTAAGCATGCCAACATCCTATTTTTCTCTCAATCTGGCCCTCCAACTTAAGAAAATAACTCAATGTGACTATACAATATGTTTAACGCGATTATAAATGAGAAAATAATATCATTTATCACTCAATTATCTTCTCTATTCTATTTTAGTCACTAAACTTTAAAAGTTTTCAATTTAATCACTCAACTTTTGAATTACTCATGTTTTGATCACAATGATTTATTTTATTAATATTTATGTATGATGTAACGCCTATTATTCTTATTTTATTAATATATGATTAAAATAATATTAATTAAAATAAAATTTTAAAATTATATTAAAACAAAAAATATTCCAAAATTATAATTAAATTTAAAAATATTATCTCTGCTTTATATATTTCCAAATCTTCACTCTCCTCCTTTATCCTCTCATTTCATTTTTCTAAAAAATATTTTTCTTTCATTACCCAATCAAGCAGCTCATCCCCAATTTTTCAAAATTTTTTACAAGTTTAATATGGGTTCACTGAATCTATTAATGAAAGGGAAAAAAAGAAATCTTTGGTTGAAAAGAAAAAATGTCACATTATACATAAATGCCACATCGTACATAAATATTAATAAAATAAATCATGATGATTAGAATAAGAGCAATTCAAAAGTTGAGTGATTAAATTGAGAACTTTTAAAGTTTAGTGACCAAAATAAAAGAAAAAAATAAGGTCATACTGAATTATTTTCTTTATTTTGAGAGTTAGATTGAGAGAAAAAAAAAAGGATATTAGCCTGTTTAACGTGCCACATCAACATAGAGTAATGGCCTCATCGGTCAATGACAGAAAATGTTAGTCAGAGGATCCATTGGATTTTTTTAACAAACCAAATTTCATTTAGCTTCAAAGCCTTGAGGCAGAGCTTGTAGTGCCGGAACTTGCGTCCAAAAAAGGTGGCCCTGAGACGTGTCGCGGTGTTTTCATCCGCGCTCCTGCTGTCCTTGACGTGGGGGGCAGAAGTTGAAGTGTTTGTTGATTATCCTCCTATCCCATCAAATAAGGTGCTATACTAGAGTTCAGCCGTTGAAATTCAACAGGTATATTGAATTATTCATGCTATAGTCTAAAACAAGAAACAATAAAATTTTATAGACATTCCTTTAACTAAAGGAGTCTAGATTTTTTTGTTAATCATGCTTTCCTATAAATTTCCAAGTAACTGGTTGCATATCTGTTTCGTTTATTTCTCTTCTTGTCATCTAAACTTCTGGGAATTTTAGGAGCCTGCCGTGCCTGAAAAGAAAGTGATAGTTGCCGTGAAGCAAGGAAAGTTGCTAGGAACTGCTTTCCACCCCGAGTTGACTGCAGACACCAGATGGTAGAATGATGTTAACCATCAATTAAGTTCTTCAATTTTACTTACGATATTATCTTAGGTTTTAAATGTTCCTCTTTTTGGTTGCTATTGTTGCAGACGGTGAAGCGGCTTCAAGTTCCGACCCACAAACAAAATATGATCTTCCTATATTTCAATAATCAATAGCGTCAAGGATATTATTTCGTTTTCTTTTCCTTTGCTTCCTCATGTTGTTCTCCTCGTCACTTAATAGTGTCTCCATGTTTGCGGACGTTTCATCTTTTGTTTCAAAGCTAAGTTCCTATTTGACTAGTATTTTTACTCGTTTTATGTCACACCTGCTCAAATCACAGACCTGTTTACACATTTCTATAAAATTCAAATGTTCCGTATATTTTTTTATGCAATGCCTGAATTACTAGCGTTTGAATCTACAACTTCTAAGTTGTAATAACAATGGTGCGGTGCCAATCAAATTATAGAACTCGATCAGTGTGTAATTTTGTAGTAACAACGATGATAAACCGAAGCAACTTTGATTTCTTTAAATGAAATTGTTTCTGTGACAAGGCATGTACTCTGCTAAAAGATACTATGCATAAGTGCCATTAAAGTTGCCACTACGTTGTTTATTTTTCTAGTTCTAGGACGAAACATATTTCCGGTATGAGGCGCCCCCCTCCCCCAATGAGAAGAATCCTTTGCCGAAAAGCTTATTTGGTTTGAACACTTACTTGGGTACAATGCTCCGCTCGCTTCCAATAATGCATGCTTATTGACATTTCTTCATGCACAAGAAACTTCTACCGCTAAGCTTTTCTTTACTCCCTTGCAAGGGTCACCAAAGGTGCTAGTTGATACACCGATACTGCAACTTGTCGATCCAATGCAAGCCTGTATAGTTTTAACAATTGTCATGAACAAGAATGGTTTGGCTGCAACGGTGAAAATTTGCATATGGATAGTGAGCAAGATTGAACCTTGTGTACGATGGAACGTGCTTTACTGCTGCTACACCTGCCATGGCTAAAACTGCCGCAAGTGCCAAGGGGAGTTCCATAGCTTGCAAATTTGATTGAAGAAATAACCTGATTCGGAGATGGGCAACTGAGAGATAGAGTAGAGTTTGAAGCCTTTCTTGTTTCTGAATCCAAACTCCACATATCTACAGGTAATGGGTGCGATTCAGATACATGTGAGCACAAACTTCCAGTCTGTCTTGTTGCAAAAGCAAGCTGTGTCGGATCCCCACCAATTTCCTCAAACAATACAAGAATGTTACCACTCGATTGTAACCATGAACGGGGTACATGGTACCTGCAAGTGGGACAGAAATACGGGAATAAGAATTTTAAAGTAGTGGCTATTCTCAAGCTTTCCCAGCATAGACTCTTTGGTACTCACAATTTCTGAGATGGCTTCCCACAATTCTTGCGGCATTTGTTTGCATTGTAAGGTCCTCTATAATTACAAGAGTCGGTACAGCCACCACTTGGAGTGATATAGGTCGGCCAATATCGTCCAATGCTCTGACCGTTCACCCATGCTTCACCCTTTCCCATCCCAGTGAAGTCTAATGCAATTGGAGCCTTCCCAGTTGGGGCATCAAAATTTGTCTGCTTACAAGAGTTTGAGCACTAATAGCTTAGAATCGACTCAATTGTGCGACCCGTCGCAATATTTTTATGAATAATAAAAGACCATAGACGAACTCGTATCATAGAAATTCATGCTGGATCAAAATTGAGAAGAAAAAAATCCGGATGTGTGTGTGTGTGTGTTCAGGACTAAAAAGAAAAATGAAGTATATAAAAGTAATTAATGCAAAAAGGATAGTCTTAATAACGTATCAAATTTTTCATATCTAATTTAAAGTTAAGAATTACCTTGTACCATATTAGGGGTTGATTCTTAGGCAAGCCGGATTGTGAGATCCATTCCGATGAACTTCCACTTGGTAGACCTGAGTCTTCTCCTTTAAGTCCGACCTATATTCATGATTACAGTATCAAGGAAAATTAGAGTACAGTTGCAAAATCCTCTTTTAGGGATTAACTTTGTTCAGGGTTTTGGTTCATCTTCAGCAAGAGTGCGACATGTCATATTAAGTGCCATCTCACCACAAGTAATGTATAGCTGAAAAAGAATAAATTGCATTCACAGTTACATCGGAGATCATTCAAATCCATTTCTTAGATCATGTTTTCTCAATTTGTAGGTTATCAAGAAATGCAGTGTTTATCTGAGAATGAACAGCATTGGCAGAGCATATTGAAAGAAAGAGGCACTGACCTGATATGTCCACTGCTGTGAGGAGAGATCAATGCTGCTACCATTGTTTAAACCATTTAATTTCACCGGACCAGTGACCCCTGCCCCCGATAGGTCAAAAAAGGCCCCATAGTTCTGAAATTTATAAATAAAATTAGATGATACACATATCGAGTTATTTTTATAACAGCTTTGTCCAACAGAAAACGTTTTCAACTTAGAGAGGAAGTAGTAATTTCATCAATATAATTTGTAGATAAATATTTCCATTTTTCAGTTAATGATTATGTAAATCTTAGTGAGGAGGAATTAAACCTGTAGTCCTACAGTCAAACTCAGCAGATCGATTGTGTTCTTCCCAGCTACAACTGTGATGGGGATATCCACTTTAACCTTAGCATTACCACTATTACCAGTTCCGCTCCCTGTGGAAAGTTTCAAAAGATGCATACAAACAATCAATATTTAACGGTCCATATTTATATCGACTTTACGCAAAATGCCATTCCTTTCATAGCTATATCGGAGCAGAAGAACTCTAGGAAAAATCAAAAGAGGATATAAATTGTGATGAAAATGACCATAATATGTGTGTGCGCGCGAGCAGGGGGAAATCTAAGATATTATGCTTTGAAAAAAAATGTTTCCATCTACCTGCAAGTTTCCCATTTATAAAAGCGTGAAGAGAATGCCCAAGTGATTCAACATGGAGAACGGTTTGAGATCCATCTTGAAGGAAAGGCTCCTCTCCCTTGATATCCATGCTGCCAAAAGAATTTATATCCTTTTTAAATATATTCTGAATAGTTTTCTCAATATATACATATATTATGGATGCTATATAAACTTGAACGGTAGCACTTATGCCCTTCGGAAACAACTTCTAAAATAAAACACCAGGATACCTTAATGAATACCACAAGTAGTCACTTTTATCAGCAGTAGTGTTGATTTGCTCTAACAATCCAAGTTTATTAAATGCACCGGCCTTTGAGATGCCCACGGGTTCGTTTAACCAACTCCACCCTGACCCGATTGAGTCAGTTGAGTCGACATTGGTATTCAGAGATTCATGCATGAAGCTAGGAATCACAGTCTGAGAGTTAATCTGTCATGTGAAGAATAAAACTATATGAGTTGCCTGAAAGAACAAACTTACAAGAAGTACAAACTGTGTTAATTAAATATAAATGCAAGCAATCCATGGCAGATGAAGCAGACACGGTCTAGAGAAACGATCCGATTAGTGTTCTGAAGTGAAAATAACCATAAACTCAGCACATTATACTTAACAACCGATAAGGCAGGTTCTTTGCAGTTAGCTTGTTTATACTACTGCGAGGGAGGTTTTCAGACAGCCTCTTTTGCAGAGTTAGGTTCTATGAATCCAAAAATAATGACAACTTGAATTTCCAACTATGATCCTTTTGTAAGAGAAGATAGAAAAGACGAGCTTTACGTAATTAAGTTATTCATTCAATTGTTTCAAAGAAACTTGTCAACAAGAATCTTGACTAGTTATGGCATGAAAATCTAGAACAATAAGCAAGCTGGTTAAGCTGCTAATGAAGCTAACCAAAACTTGAAGTGGGAAACAAATTTGGTAATGAAGCATACCTTGGCAGTATTCAGAACTACATTCTTGCAGTCGGGTAAGATGCTGACAGACCATGCAGGCAAAAGGTAAGAATTGCCATTAAATTTAACAGTTGCATCAGATTTGATGTCCACATTGGCAAGAAAAGCAGAACATACTGATCCTGTTTTATATACAGCAGCCTGGGAAGAAGAAGGAAATACATCTTTCACTTTAATAGTTGAAACTATATCTTTCAATAATGGTACAATGACCTGAGCACATTTTGTTCTCGTTAAAAGCCTTAAGAAGAGTTTATGATCGGAAAAAAGTGATTTATCTTTCGTCATTTATGCGTACAAAATATTACGATCCTTAAGATTTCAACGGGACCCTTGCTCGCGAATCAGACAAAGAAGTAACGAACAGGCAGCCCTCGTTGAGTTCTTATTCATAACCAACATAGAAGCCAAGAAATAGGGTTCTCTTTTAAAATGCGAAAGAAAGAGACAATAAACATGGAAAATACCTCCAAGTTTGGACCCAAGGAGGAAATCGTAGGATCAGTGGCTATCAGCGCTTCTTCACAAAGCTTTATAGCCTTATGAACATCTCTTAGGTGACCCCACTTAGGTTGTCTAACAAGTCCTGAAAAAAAAAACAGTGAATAGGAAGACAGGTGAAACTTAGAAGATGCTGTATACAAAATTATAAACCAAATAATCATGGTTTTACATATCTCATTCTATCGTAATAACCACCAAAATAAGTCAAGTTGCATACAGATGATAACCTCAAGTATGATACAGGCACTTATAGGGTAAAGTAGATGCTTAGAAGTGATAACAATTTTTATTAGATTGGCCGAAGACATACCATACTCATCAATTGGAGCATCATAATCATAACTAGTAGCAATGAAGGGTCCACCTGTAGTCCTGCCAAAGTTTGTTCCACCATGGTACTGTTTTAAGAGAAACCAAAACATATTTGACACATAAGTTCGGTTCGGAATGAGACTGTGTACTTGATTCTAGGAATGAATTTTATTACTGTAAAAACCAATGCACAAACACATTTGAAACTCCAATTATCATTACCATATAATAGTTTTGGAAAGTTCCACCTCTTTGATAAAACCGTGCAACCGCAAATGCTTGGTCCTCTACAGGTCTGTAGGGAACGGCACCACCAAATGAAAGGAACCTAGCATTTGTCATATGTTGGGAAGTAGTGAGGAAGAAACACATTTTGATAAAAAGTTGAATAAGAGAAGCAAGCAATCAGAGCATTGTGATGGTGACATTTAATCCATATAACCAAAAAACCAAGTAGAAGTCAGATTGTAAATTATATTGGCGAGTTGGACACCATACCATCCAGACCAATTCTCAGTCCACATTTTCGGTTTCTTATTAGAATTTGGGGTGAATTGATCACAGTAATATCCATTGCAAGTGTTAATCTGTTAAAGCCAAGATAAAAGAAGAAATTACATATCAAAAACCAACCAATGCCCTGATTTTCAAAAACATGCAAATTCCGAGTGAAACTATTAGCTATGATCGAAACTAAAAAGCATAAATCTTGAAAACCCAAACTTACAATGGGATCAGGAGCATTAGATTGCTGGCACATGACCCATGGAACTCCAGTATCCAATGAAACAGCCATATCAGCTGCCCATTTAATATACGATTTTGCAGCTGCCCCATATGCTGAATCAATGTTTCCATATTCATTTTCAATCTGTATTGGAAAAAAAACCCAGAAAACCATTAGGGGAAAAATTATAGCACCGACAACAATAGGAATTGTTCATAAGAAAGTGGGGTAAGAAAAGAGCAAAGACTTAAAGTAGACCTGTGACAAGATAATGGGTCCTCCTTGTGATGCATACAATTTCTCTTGCTTCATCATGTTCACAATTTTAGCCGTAAACCTCTGCATTTCTGACTACAAGAAAACATTTTTACAGTTGTTCTTAATCATTTCAACCAACAGTCCTTCCAACGATTTCAGTAAACTTTACGAAACAGAAGAGAATGATGTATAAAGAAGAGACTAATTAATATAAACAATAAAGTAATAAATTTTTTATGGTTAAATATATTACCTTGAATGGTTCGTTATCAGTTCGGAACTTGATCCCGGGTATAAAATGTAACCAAAGAGGAAATCCACTGCAAATATTTTATCAGCAAATAAAAGAAAATTAAACATACCCCCAAAATGAAATTAAAAGAAAAATAGAAACTTTACCCATAGTTCCATTCAGCACAAACATATGGTCCGATGCGAAGATGAACATAAAGACCAGCTGCTGCAACTAACTTTACAAATTTAACCAAATCGATTCTTCCTTCGAAATTATACTGGAAACATCAATAATCAAAGCTCAGAAAAACAATCAATGGGATTCATTTTTAGTTCATAACTTCAGGATAGTTTTAGCACAGCAACTGAAGAGAAAAAAGAAGAAGGCAGAACCTGGTTTCTAACTGGTTCGTGTAGATTCCAGAAAACGTAAGTTTCGATCATATCTAATCCTCCATCTTTGGATTTTTGAATAAGGTCTGGCCACATCTGATAACAGGAAACCATGATTATACAGACATTTTTTTTACTCTTCCAAAAACAGGTAAAGTGAAAATGAGGGGAAAATGAAAGAAAATTGAAGCTTACATCAGGGGTGCTGCGAGGGTAGTGAATGGAGCCGGATACCAAAACGCGGCGTTTCCCGTCGATGACAATCGCTCGGCTATCGTACGTGACGGTGGATGCAAACGTCGTCGTTGCAGTAAGCAAACAAAAAACAAATAACGCGAGAATCTCTGTTCTTCCCCTCATTGTGAAAAATTACAACAACACAATAACACACGTAAACTTCCCCCCTTCTTTTTTTTTAAATAAAAAGAAGAAGAAAACTTAGCTTCTTGCTTGTAAGAAATCTTTTGCTTTTGTTTTTGTGTTGATGCCCTTTTCCTACTTTTCTTATCTCCCTTTGTTCTGGTAACGTTTGTTGCTTGGGCGCTTTGTACAACAAAATCAAGACTTCAAGCTACCGGAGAATAGCACTGCACGCCACCGCTCATTTCATCATCTTCTTCTTGCTGTTGTTTAGCTACAGTATTCTGATAATATATTCTTTTTCTTTTTTGTGCTTTCGTTTATCTTGAGTGATAATAATGGCGCCTTTTATAGGTTTTTTCTTTTAGCTGAAGTTGGGGAGCAGTAAAAGTATTGACAATAGCCAGCAAGCAAAGCTGCTACCCGCAGTGAAGGAAGGGTGGAGTACTGGAGAGAGAGATTTTATCATACTGCATGTATCTGCATTTCTATTTACGCCACGTGTTGGTAACTTTTACCGACAACACAGTCGAATAGTTTGGACTTTGGATTGAGCGTGACCTACGTTATCAAAGGTTCATCTTCTTTCGCTCCATCCAAACTGCACCGTCTTATCATGTGGAAAAATAAATCATGTTTTAAATTAATAGTTGATTAGTTAACATTTGAAGTGATAAAAAGACACTACCTATCAGTAAAGATCGATCAAATAGAAGAGTACTCTTTCTAACAAATACACTTAATCTAACACTTTAGAAAATAAGCTAGGTGAGGGGTCCCTGATACTAAATTGGGCTGTGAGCATTTAACTTGTAGTGGGTAAAGTACCACGTGGTTCAGATTCATGTACACTGCTACATATTATTGATTTTGTCACGGACCGTCAGCTCATGACCGAACACAATACCATCAAGGCTGCTAAAGATTATCTTTACCACATTTTGGGCCTTCTAGAAGACCCAAGTGAGCTGATCCAATCCACCTTGGAGACATGATAATTATTTAGCATTATTTTAGAAGATAATGATGTTAACTCATTGCCCACTTGTTATAAATAGTGTAGAGCTCTCATTTTGGCCATTGATGTATTTTAATCCCAACCGTTCATTGTAGGGGACTCCAACTATAAAAGGAGGCTCACCCCCCTTCATTTACATACCTCAAGTTGATAAATACAAACTAGTATTCACTCTCAAATCTCTCTTCTTCCTTTAGCTTGCCCATCTCTTTATTTTCCCCAATTCCTTTGGGGTAGCAACTTTCTAAGCATTCTTGCTTAGCGAAGGTTCGGGTCACTTAACTGGTTTTCAACCAAGAAAACATCTAAGGCCGCACGAGCTTGCTAGCAGCAGTCTAGCCCCGTGATAAGTGGTATCAGAGCATATTTTTATCGATTTTCGTTGGTTCGAGATGGCACCACAACATGGCGATGTGGGAGGTTCCGAGGGGAATGAGTCCCGAAATGCTGTAAAGAAGAGAGCACCATCAAGAGATGTTCTCGCATCCCTCCAGGAGAAGGTTACCAGGCTTGAAGGTTCCATGACGGAAGCTAGGGTAGTGTTGGACATGCTGGAGTCCGTAGACCTTGAAAGGATGGGATCGATAGATCTCGACAAGTTAGATTCCTTGGATTCTATAAAGGAGGAGGTTCAGGATTCACTCAACGAGTTGGATGCAATGACAACCGATCGTGATGATTTCTTAGAAGCCATGGTCGTGGCTTTAAGGAAGGAAGTCGAGGAACTCAAGAGCGAGGGTTCCGATTCTGAGGTGGCAAAGCTAAAGAGGGAGGTCGAGTTGCTCAAGACCGAGTTGTTGGTGTGCAAAGTTGCGTTCGGAAATAGCGCAACCATGGTTGCACCCAAAGCCTTGGGCGACATCCCTAAGCCGGAGAAGTTCAAAGGGTCCAGGTCAGTCCAAGATGTCGAGAATTTCCTTTGGGCGCTGGACCGATACTTTGCGGCCACATGCATCACGGAGGATGCCAAGAAAGTAAGTATCGCTAGCATTTACTTGTCCGAGGTTGCCCTCATGTGGTGGCGACGTAGATGCAACGATGTGAAGCGTGGTACCGCTGCCATCGCAACTTGGGAAGAGTTCCAAGCGGAGTTCAAGGAATAATTCTACCCGGAGTATGCCGAAGATGAGGCACGGTCCAAGCTGAGGCGTCTCAAGCAAGAAGGGTCATTGAAGGAGCATGTTCGAAAGTTCGTCGAAGTAAGTCTCCAAGTCCCGAGTTTAAGTGAAGAGGATGGGTTCTTCACCTTCATGGATGGGCTGAAACCATGGGCGAAGAACGAGCTAAGGCAACGAGGGGTCAAGGATCTCTCGACTGCCTTGACGACAACCCAGTCAGTCATTGAGCTTGGCGTCAAGAGTGTGGACTCCAAACCAAAGCCAAAGTTTTGAGGCAGCAGTGGTGATAGGGACAGTGCGTCCAGATCCGACAAAGATTTGAGTGGCAGTGGAAGGTCATTAAATAGTAAGCACTTCGATAAGAAAGATAAGTCGATTATCCAATGTTACAACTGCAAGGGCCAAGGGCACTTGGCGAAGGACTGTCCGCAAAGGAATAAACTCTCAGCCATCAAGGAGAAAGATGGGGAAGAGAGTGAGGATCTTAAGCTTGGCTCCATTCTGAGCACCATGGAGGTCAAGAAGGGTCGAAAGAATAAGGGGTTGATGTTCATGGACGTCAACATTGCTGGCAAAAAACTGAGTGCACTAGTGGACACCGGTGCCTCGGAATTGTTCATGTCCGAACCAGTGGCCAAGAGACTTGGCCTTCATGTGGAGAAGGCGAATGGTTCCATCAAAACCGTTAATGCCGAAGAAGTTCCAATTGCGGGGGTCGCAAAAGGAATTGAGCTAACCGTCGGAGGTTGGTCCGGAAGAGAAACCATTAAGGTAATTCCTCTTGATGATTTTGATTTTGTTCTTGGCTTAAGTTTCTTGGACAGGATCAATGTTTTCCCGATACCCTTTGCCGATTTCTTGTGCATCTTGGATCCAAAGCAACAATGTATAGTCCCAGTAAGCCGAGGGTCAGGAGTAGGGTCCAAAGTCTTGTCCGCGATTCAATTCTCGAAGGCAGTACGCAAGGAGGAACCAACCTTCCTAGTGATCTTGGTGTGTGATGAGTCAGCCACAACCAAGGATGTTCCTGACGTGGTGAGCCACGTTTTGGCATAATTCAAAGATGTGATGCCTGCCGAGTTGCCCAAGAAGTTGTCTTCAAAGAGGGAGGTTGATCACAAGATTGAGCTTGTGCCAAATGCGGAGCCACCCGCTCGAGTCCCTTACCGAATGGCTCCGCCCGAGTTAGAGGAGATGCGCAAACAGTTGAAAGATCTCCTCGATGCTGGTTACATTCGACCATCAAAGTCCCCCTACGGTGCCCCAGTGTTGTTTCAGAAGAAGCACGATGGTTCTTTGCGGATGTGCATCGACTACCGGGCTTTGAATAAGCTCACGGTAAAGAACAAGTACCCGATCCCTCTCATTGCGGACTTGTTCGATCAGCTTGGTGGTGCAAGGTAGTTCACCAAGTTGGACTTACGATCGGGCTATTACCAAGTAAGGATAGCCGAGGAAGATAAACCAAAGACAGCCTACGTGACCAGGTACGATTCGAATGAATACCTTGTGATGCCCTTTGGCATCACGAATGCTCCAACCACTTTCTGCACCTTGATGAACAAGGTATTGCAGCCCTTTTTGGATCAATTCGTTGTTGTCTACCTTGACGACATTGTCATCTATAGCAAGACGTTGGAGGAGCATATCGAAGACTTGAAGCAAGTATTCTTGGTGTTGCGAGACAATGAGCTCTATGTTAAAGAGGAGAAGTGCTCATTTGCCCAAACAGAGGTCCCTTTCCTTGACCATATTGTTGGAGGTGGCAAGATCTGGATGGACATGGACAAGATTCGAGCTATTGAAGAATGGAAGGGGCCAACCAAGGTGACGGAGCTGAGGTCATTCTTGGGGTTGGCCAACTATTACCGGCGTTTTGTCAAAGGATACTCTAAAATCGCCGCCCCCTTGACCGAGTTATTGAAGAAGTACAAGAGGTGGGATTGGAGCCCGAAGTGTCAAAGTGCCTTTGACGAACTCAAGCTTGCTATGATAAGCGTGTCAGTCTTGGTATTGCCTGATCACACCAAGTCCTTTGAAGTATTCACCGATGCATTCGACGTTGCTATTAGTGGCGTCCTAATGCAAGAAGGACATCCGGTTGCTTATGAAATCTGGAAGCTCAACGAGATCGAAAGGCGATACACGGTCCATGAGAAGGAGATGACGACGATTGTGCACTGCTTGCGCACATGGCGATATTATTTACTTGGGTCCAAGTTCATAGTGTTTACTGACAATATTGCCAACAGTTACTTCCTAACCCATAAGAAGTTGTCTCCGAAGCAGGCTCGATGGCAAGAGTTTCTTGCCGAGTTTGATTTTTCCTTCGAGCACAAATCCGGGAAAGTAAAATTCGTAGCCGATGCCTTAAGCCGAAGGTACAACATGGAGTTTGTCAGTATACCGATGGGACATATATGGGAACGCATCAATGAGGGTTTGTCACATGATCCGATGGCCACTTCGTTGATGGAGCTTGCCACTGAGGGTAAGACTCGAAAGTTTTGGCTCGAGGGAGGCTTATTATATGCTCGAGGACACCGCCTCTATGTGCCGCAATTTGAAGGATTGCGAAAGGAGCTCATGAAAGAATGTCACGATTCCAAGTGGGCGGGATATCCGGGGATCCACCGGACTTTGGCCTTAATAGCCGAACACTATTACTGGCCGCACATGGGCAATGATGTTGAGGCCTATGTGAAGACATGTCTTGTGTGCCAACAAGACAAGATAGAGCAGAAGAAACCAGTTGGATTGTTGTAACCTTTGCCAATCCCTGAAAGACCATGGGAGAGTCTTTTCATGGATTTTATTGTCGGTGTGCCGGTTACCGATGGATTTTCTAGCATCATGGTAGTGATCGATAGATTTTCCAAGTACGGTACTTTTATCCCAGAATCCAAAGTATGCCCAGCCGAGGAAGTCGCTCGTCTTTTTCTAAAGCAAGTGGTGAAGTACTGGGGCATTCTAAAGACGATCATCAGTGATCGGGACACAAGGTTCACTGGGAGGTTCTGGAAGGAGTTGTTCAAGTTAATGGGATCAAGCTTGAACTTCTCAACGAGTGTTCATCCACAGACGGATGGGCAGACCGAGAGAGTGAATGCACTTGTGAAGACTTACTTAAGGCACTATGTGAGTGCCACGCAACGTGACTGGCCGAAATTGTTGGACATAACCCAATTTTCCTATAATTTGCAGAGGAGTGAAGCGACCAATTAAAGTCCATTTGAGATTGTAACCGGGCAACAACCGCTCACACCAAAAGCAAT